CTTCACGCCCCGTTCTCTGCGGGGGTTTTCCTCTGTCTGCGCAGAGGAGATCCCTGTAACTGCAGAAGCTGACAGCGCCGAGGAAGCCAGGGAGTGGGAAGGTGCTGCCGCCCTTTCCATTGGCTGCGGTCTCGGGTTCCCAGCTCTGATGGAAAAAAATTCACCTTGATCTATTTCTTCATGGTCTTTCTTGGTAGAGCAATCTTATGGGAAGCCTTTAAAAGTCAAACGTAATGCTTCTCAGAAGAAAAATTAAAATGTTTTAAAGTAGATCTGCGTGTGTAAAACCGAAATACTGTAAAAGATTAAGACCCTTGCTCATCAAGTGTGTCATTTTAGCATTTGTGGGGAGAATAATCCTTTGCAACTACAGCATCCTAAAATAGATTCATAAATTGACAGTTAAGAGCATAGCATAGGTAAGGCTTCAAAGAATTTCCAGGTTTTGATTACTCAAATTACAGATAATTTTATTTTGATCTCAAAGGTTTTGATACTGAACTGGATTTGAGGATGGTGGTGTGGACATTTGTGATAGCAGACCTGGGCTATTGGAATTCATGGTCCTACGCAAAGCAGTCTGCTTTTAAGATCAAAGATCCTGGGAACACAGGATTGAGTTCAAAGGGGTGGAGATTTGCTAGTTTAATTTTTTATATAACAGGGGGTCTTGAGAAATGAAAAGGATGTCTTTGTCTTCAGCAGGTCTTAATTAAAGCCTTGGAATCCCATAGTATGTTTTGGAAATCTGCATGTTTTCCAGTAAGCTGGAAAGCTTTGCTCACAGTAAGTTGTTACTCATTTCGGATTGCTTAACCTGTTGATTTGTTTGAACAAATTGCAAGAGTAAAAGTAGAAAATGTTAAAACTAGTCTTTTGGAAATTTGTACTTTTTAGTGCCACTTTAAGTAAAGTGTTTAGGCTTGCTGAGTTTTTGTAACTTTATTGCAATTTGTTGTAACAAATTAAGTTCTTCAAACAATGCAAGAGAACTAATGGTAAGTGATTAGATACTTTAGAGTGCCCTGGAAAACCTGCTGATTTCCAATCGCTTAATAATTCAGCTTGTTAAATGTGACCTATGCATCTAGTTGTTTAAAATCATAGTTAAGACTTCCTTCATTCTAACAGGGTTACAGCTTGGGCTTGCAGAACTATTGCAAAGGTAATCAGGCTTTGATAGCTTCATCTGACATAATTACAACCAGTTAAATGTTCACATAGCAGCATTTTTCTGTTCCTTCTGCTGACCTGTCCTGTCCTGTCCACACCTATAATGCTGAATCACTGGCTTCTGGAGAAAGCCTGGACAGCTGTGCCAAGCTGTCTGTGTTCTTGGTCTGAAGGACAGGGTGGTTTGTTCTTCCCCCCGTCTTTAGGTGCAGTGCAGTCAGAAGTATTTTTTTTTAGACAGCAACCTCAGGGGTGCAAGATTGCAGGTTATGTCAGTGCTAAGTGGGAGTATCTATGCAACATAAATATGTTTGCTGAAACCATGTTAAAATGTGACAACTCTGACACATCCCTGTTCACAAACCGATGTGTTGTCGCTCACACACCAAGAAATGTTCACCATACTCTTACCTATTGCACGATGAATAGATTACAGGTCTGGCGATACTCTCTGCTCTTGTCAGGACAACACTGCATACCAGGGGACCTAAAAATGTTAATTTCTTATACTGGAAATGTGTGGACCAGGTGTGCTGGTGAATCTGTTAAGACAACAGTTTAAATAGTTGCATAATGTCTTATACTTTTAACTTCTCTAATGCTTATGAATCGTCATAGAAATTTCCTCTTTTTCATAAGTATTAACTTATTTATTGATACTTATTAATGAATTTATTTGCTGGAATTAGGTTCAGGGATTCCTTTTAAGGTAGTATTTTTTCATGTTTATTTTGTTTAATGTGACCCACTATAGGAGAAAGTAATGTTTTCAAAATACTTACACACTTTTTCTTTTTTGTGTGCCAGCTCTGTTCCCAAGAAAAAACATCCTTGGGGCACCCAGGCTTTCTGTCTCTCCTTGCTGAGACATTTCATTTATAATGTCTCAGGTCCTTGAGAACAGCCACAGGGAAAAATGTAGTAAAATTATCTGGTGTATCTGTGTATTAGTCCATATTTCAGCTTTCACACTCTCCATATATCATGTCTTTTTGGGAGGAAACGTGAATTCAGGACTTAATGCTTGCTGGTGTTTGCATTGTTTCATTTCTAGCTTTTATTTCAGCTTTATTTTTTTTCTCTGTATTACTGGAAGAGGAGGGAAAATAACAGAAACCATATATTGAGAAATTAAATTACCATGAGAAATTAAATCCTTTACCATGAATAATATATGTTGGCAGAAATGGGCAAGAGATGCTCACCCAAGAAAAAATGGTTAAATTATTGTATCATCAGTAACTCATCCTTCCTAACAAGGTAGGATAATAATTAGGATGTGTCCCCCTTTATATTTTGATCTGTATATTTAGCAATTAGTGGGAAGTGCATATATTGAGGAAAATATCTGAAAGGTTATCAGGTGTAATGGTCATATTAGACATATATATAATAAACATAATAATGGCTTTAAATATGCGGTCTCTGCAGTCTAACTGTGTTGGTCTGGGATGCCTTCCCAAGTACCAATTGTACCATCAAAGATCATTGCGTGCTTTTAAAAAAGCTCAAAGTTTCTCTTTTCATGGCTCAGTTAATTTGTCTTAAATAATTTGTACTTACAGAGTTTCCTATAAATTAATGGTTAGGTATGGAGTTGAAAAGTCTATAAGTCAGTTTTTGGCATTTGGTTCCCAAAAGGTGTCTTGTGGCGAGGCTTTTGCTGCTGCTTTTTTAAATAGAGATGAGGAAATGCATCTGTTGTCTTGATTCATGAGGCACCCTCTTAGTCTTTGGAGAATGGTACTTGGCTTTTACTGTCTCGTGGAAGTTACCGTTTTCCTTTTTCATGTTCTGTCAAAATCATGGGGCAGGGGGAAATATCTTTTTTCTTTAAACTGCTGTTGGTATTCAGCTGCTGTATCTGGTTCTTCTGGGTTTGGGTTTGCCTTTCTTTTTGGATGATAATTGACTGACTTCAGTCAGCGCACTTGACCTTTCAGTGCACATGACTTTCATACCTTAAATTTATCAATGTATTGTATTTTTTCTACTGAAATGACTGTTCACTACCTTGTAGTAAAGTGTTTTTCACTGATAGAGAGGAGGAGATGCTGTAAGCTCAGACAGTTTGGTAGAGTGGTCCTGGGCATGGCAGGGATGAGCCTTCCTTTGAGGGAAAAGCACCAGGGCTTCGCTGCCCCACTGGTGAGTAGCTACACCACCAAGTCGTACTTGGAAGCACTCAGTCCTCCCTGGTGTCGTGCTTTGCCCGCTATGGGTGTTACTGGACTTTGGGAAGCAATCCACAGGACCTTGTTGTGCTGAGCTAATGGGTATTTTTTGCTAAATTTGGAGATGACGTCTGTTCTTGTGGAAATGGGAGGCTTCAGTATTCCTTTGTTTTGGATAAAAGTCGTGATGCAGTCTGTCTGATTGGCAAACAGTCATTTTAGATATTACATGGTAGTTTATTGAAACAAGTCTTCAGAGAATCCCAAAGAGAAGTAACTCTTAGCCTTGAGCAAGGTCCTAAATTAAGACACTAGTAACTACTTTTTAACGATTTTCATGTAGGAGAAAAAGAAATCATTGCAGTATTTAAATTTAAAATTTGGACTCTGGTACAAAAAAAAACAGGTAGAAGGATAAATGCTTACAGGCAGCATGAAGGCTGTTTTAAAACTATTATAAAGCACTTAGAAAGCCTTTTTGCTGCTGCTCAGAAATGATTCTAAAATGATCCAGAAAGGCAGCAGAGCAAAGAGAGTGTTAAAGGTCATACTTTTAAATAAAAAAAAATACTAACCAAACAACAAGAGTGTTGTTTTGGGAGGCACAATGGAATAAAACTGAATTCTGGTAAGTTAGTGTTTGACTGGCCTTATACTCTTCTTTTTATTGAGAGGGAGAATGGTTAGAGTGAATGAATCTTAAAAACAACAACAAACCCCCCAAAACCCCACCCAAAAATGGAAGCTTGCCTTACTTTCAGTAGGGCCAGTTGGCAGCTCAGGCTTGGGAAGGTAAGGCTGGAGCAGAAAAATCTGGCAACTACTTACACGTGTGTTTGTTGTGTAAGGAACTAAGAACTCAGTCGTCAATTCTTAGGCCTGAATGGGACCAAAGAACTGTCTCGTTGAAATGTAAGTGGTTTCAGAACATATCAACAAAACAAATGTTCAAAAAAAATATCCCAGGACCAGAAGATATTTGTCTAGTGGAGCTAAAGGAATTCTTTGGGGGTTTGGGGTGAAAAATTGCGGATTTATTTTCCATAGCCTGTGGCATAACTCATCTTCTGAGTCTGAGAAATGGAGCACAGCAGCATTTTTTTAAAAGCTCTAGATTGAACTGGAGAGCTGTAGATCCGTAAGTTTAATTTAAGCAGACTCATGGCACTTGTAAGAAAGAGTGGACTAACTCTGTCCCTGGGGAAATACAGTACTAAAGAGGAGTTGGTACAGTTTTCATAGATGGAAATCAAGATAAATTGTTAGAATATTTTTGAGGAGCTAGTGAGCTGGTTGATACAGGCAAAACTATTCATTGGTTCCTTCATCAGAGCCTTTAAAGTAAGCAAAAGAGGAAATGTCCTCTTTTGGATCAAAATTAGTTAGGAAAGAAAGGATCTTAATAGGTAATAAACTTACATGGTTGAGGGAGGTTAACATCTGTCATCTGTGCTCTTTAAACCTATTCATAAGTTAGTTAGAAAACAGAATGAATGGCACATAATAACACTTACTCAGGATAGCAAACTTCCAGAGATGTTTCAGAAAGCTCTTGCTACGCCGAGTGCTTGGGCAAAGAAGTTGCAGGAGGCACTGTTCTGATAAAGGCGGAGGAGACGCTGCAAGGGAAAGAACAATTCTTGCTTAAAATGTAGAGGGCGGTAAACTTGGGAAATACACAGTAGGGTCTGTATGGATAAAATTCTGAAAATGTTAGCACAGTGGCAGCCAAACAGGCTGATAGGAATTTAGGGATTATTAGAAGATCAGTTTAGAAAAGAGAGAATGCACCATTGTCATGGTTTAACACCGTGGTTTGACCGTCATGCTGTTATATGCACCTTGTGTTATATGTGTATCTTGAACAGCAGCACGTAATTTTGGTCCCCCTTCCTGATTTTCTTCTTTATCTAAAGATAGGTTCAGAGGCAGAGAGTGGCTTTCATGCAAGGTGGAGCAACAAAGATGAGAAATGTGTGACTTGGAAAAAGGGTAGCTGAGCAGGGAATAGAGTTAGATACTGCTTACCTCATGAAGGGTATTTAATGGAAAAGTTGAATAGGAAACAACTGTAATTCTTGTCTCCCTGTGAAAAGGAGAAAAGCAGTAATAATCCAAATTTTCCAGAAGTGAATGTAAAGGAAAGATGAAATATTTTTTCATATAATGTGTAATTAAAATTGTGGAATTCATAGCAGTAAGATGCAGTGGAAGTGAAAACTATAAAAGTGTCTATTCAGGGTCTGGAGAAAATAGTGAAAAATAGTTCTATCAGTGACCATAAACATGATGGGTTGGATGAAAGTCGATAGGAAATCCTTAAACCACCCTGTTTGGAAAACAGGGAGTATGGGGAGGGAAAGACCTATGAATCCATCATTGCCAGAAGCACATTTAAGCCCTAAATAATCTTTTGGCATAACACACGATGGCCATTTA